CTCGCCTCGCGTGGGAACCCTCCAAGGGAATGTGCGCCTCTGGGTTTCCTGTGTGTGCACCTATTTCTGGGAGCGGGCACCATACCTTCTACTAGCTTCTCAAAGGGGAGTGGGGCCACCCATCCCGGGACGGGAGTTCCCTCGTACACCCAGCGCTCTGGTTTTGACTTTCAGACCCTACACCTTGCAAAGGGTTGCTTCTGAAACCCAGATTAAGCTACCTAACCTTCCTGAGCCTCCGTTTTCTCATTTTGCCTGTGAAATGAGAATAAAATAAAATAATAAAATAAATAAATAAAATATAAAATTATATTAAATTAAAAATAGAATAATAAAATAAAATAAAATAAAATAAAATAAAATAAAATAAAATAAAATAAAATACAACACACCTCTGGACCCTGGCCATGCATGTCAACTTTTCTTACAGAGAGGAAAAGAGCAGTTCATTACTTTGTTCCACACCATTCCTTTCTACCCAGCGTGCTGACTTTCAGGTTATGGGGGAGAGAATGGCCAGTGCTAGCTGATATTATTATTTTTGTCCTAGGAGGGAGAAAGATTAGGGGGAAATTTTAAGTAACAGTAAAACTAAGAGAGGGGCAGTCCCAGGAATAGTTTCTGGAAAGAAAAATGAAAAAGTGATGCTGTCAACACCAAAAATTTATTTCTTAGAAGGGATACAATAGGCTTTCTCATCATGTTCTGTTTTTGAACATGATGGTTACTCAAGTGCGTTCACTTTGTAATAGTGCATTGACCTGTACATTGATAATTTGTGTCATTTTCTCTATGTTTCAGTAAAAGATATTTTTAGAAAGTTTTTTCTTTCATTCAGATACCCCCTAACCACCGGAGCAAATGTCCTCTTGATAGTTAGTCAAGCCAATCAATGTATATGAAGTTATAGTGTGGGGGGGGGGGGGCAAGGAAACCCTGCTTGAAAATATTTGTGTTCACCAATTGGTTTCTGAAGTTGCCATGTACATGTTCTCATCTCCACCAAATTGTCCCACATTTCTTTTAAAGAGAGCATGTGGCCAGCACTCCATGTCTGCTCAGGCCAATCCACACCTACCAACTAAGAACTGAGAGGAGCTTATCCTTACACACAGCAGGGACCAACGACTATTTCCCAGAGGTCAAAACTCGGATGCCTGGGGCTCCAGGCTCAGTGTAAGGAATGAAGTGCGCAGAGGGGAGCCTGGAGAACTTTGGGAGCATGGGAGCTGGTTCTGGGGGCCGTTGGCCACGTGGCTTAGGGCACCGCTGCCAGGCTGGAATGTGAAAATTGCCCCCACCCCCTTGTAAAGGTTCATTGTTCAATCACACCTCAGCAGAGCATTCAGACATGCAAGAGAACACAGACATCTAACCCAACCCTGATGCTTTACCTATGAATGGAATTTGACCCAGAGGAGCTAGGGATGTGCTCCTGATCACCCCCTCACCAGGTGGAGTGGAGGTGGGGAGCAGGCTGGCAGAGACAAGACTAAAAACAATCTCCCTTCCATCCCGAGTTTTTACCCCCCATGACATGAGGATGCAAGATCTGCTTGCAAGGTGAGGTCAGGTAAGTTCAATATCGCTGGCCTTACAACTCTGTGCAGCCGCTGCCCTTTGGGCCTAGCTTGAGTCCAGAAGTAGATGTACTTTCAACAGGATGAAGTGAGAGAAAAAGGCTGGTCATCTGCATGAACCTCCCTTGGGAAGAAAGAAATCTGAGGGAAGGCATTTCAAGGAAGGAAAAAGAAAAAAAAAAGGAGTTTGTTCTTTGCCTTGTATTATTATTATAGAGCATTTATTAAGAAGTTTGTGATTTATGAAATAGTCTAAGGTCTCCCCTTCTTAGATCATTTGTTGCTTCAGTCTTTTAGCAAATAAGATGGAGAAATAAACCTGAAATTGCTGTGCAGCCCTCATTGCAGCAGAAATGGGGCAGAGGAAGGCATGAGCTGGTCAGAGGAGGGTGGGACATTTGCACAGCACCTGAGTTGCTGATCCAGCACCTGCCTGGCTGACCAGTCTTTCCTTTCCGACTTATACACCAGGGTAGATTCTTCCCTTTTGTACCCATTGTCCTTCCCCTGTTTATGAATGACAGCAGAGCTTTATAGGCACCACACTTTGAAATACAAATAAAGAAAGAAAATAGAATCTAGAGTTTTTATAGCAGTTAGCTCAGAGATCTAAAAATCATTCTATTAATTCCATTTCAGTTATTCACACTCTAACAGATAAAAGATCAGAAAATAATAAAAGTGGATAAATCATTCCCTCTTATGTTAGTTTTGTAGAGTTTTTGTTGTTGTTGAAAGGACAAATTTTCAAATGCTAAAAATGACCTTTGTTGTTATTACATGCAGTATCATATTTTTACTTGCAATTTTCCAGAATATTGTTTCCTCTTTTCTTACTTTTGCTTTCCTCATAGCATTGGACTCAAGTGATTTTAACTTTAGGAGAAGGGGGGGAGAGAGGGATAAATGCTATTCTTTGAGCACCTGGTAATTGCCAAGAACTATGCTATTGCATTTATCCCTCAAAGCAGTCTTTTTGGTTAAGTATTGCTTTCTCCATTTTACAGATG